CCCCCCAAGACGCCTCCAAGAGGTCTTGAAGGAGAGCCCGAAGAGGCCAACATCATTGATTTTCCTGAGGTTTTTGAAGGATGTTGGCATTTCCTTCTTTTCGGCCTTCCGAAGACCTCAAGACGGCCCAAGAGGCCCCAAAGATCGCCCCAAGATCGCTCACGAGGCCTCCAAGATGGCCCCATGACGGCCCAAGAGGCCCCCAAGAAGGCCCCAAGAGGGCCCCAAGGTGGCCCAAGAGGCCTCCAAGACGGCCAAGCTGGCCTCCAAGACGGACCCGAAGCGCCCCAAGAGAGCCCCAAGTCGGTTCAGAGAGGCCCCGAAGACGGCTCCCGACGGCGTCAGACGGGCCAGGAACGCCATAAGACGGCCAAAGAAGCCCCCGAGACGCCCCCAAATGGCCACATGAGGCCCTCAAGAGGCCCCAAGAGAGCCCAAGATAGCCCCAACATGGTCTCCAAGACGGTCCAAAGATGGCCCAATCGAGCCCAAGAGTGCCTCAAGAGGCTCCGAAGAGGCATCCTCCCCCTTCTCCTTTTTCCTCCGTCTCCTCCTCCTCCTCCTCCTCCCCTTCCTCCCCCCCGCGTTCCCCGAAACCTTTCCAAACCGACTCGGTAGCTTGGCCAAGCTCTAGCCCAGCTGTCGGACACATAGGCGCTTCCACAAGGACAGGGGGCGGCGGTGGTTCGCCCTCGGCGTCTTCGATCCGCCGCCCCGTTGGATTGCCACAGGGGTGCCCGGCGTGCTAGATCCCTCCTGTTTTTGTTCTTTTAGAAAACTCCCTGGGACTTCAGCCCGTCCCGCCAGGGTCACAGAAAGTCCGGAAAACTCTCCCAGAGCCGGTTGCCGAGGTTTTTCCTGCTCCAGACGGCTCCAAGATGGCCTCAAAGATGGCCAAGATGGCTTCCAGGTTCGTCCAAGATGGTCCAAGATGGCCTCCAAAACGGCCCAGGAGAGTCCAAGATGCCTCCAAGTTCGTACAAGAAACCTCTCAGACGGCCCAAGACGGCCCCAGAGGTCTCCAAGAGGCCTCCAAGACGGCCCAAGAGGCCTCCAAGATGTCCTCCACGAGAGCCCGAAGAGGTCAAAATTCATTGATTTTTGTTAAGTTAGGTTATTGAAGGATTTGGGCAATGGTTCTTTTCGAGCCTTCCGACGGCTCAAGACAGCCCAAAAGGCCCCCCAAATCGCTCCAAGATCACCCACGAGGCCACCAAGGTGGCCCCATGACGGCCCAAGAGGCTCCGGAGACGGCGCCAAGTGGGCCCCAAGAGGCCTCCAAGACGGCCAAGAATGGCCTCCAAGACGGCTCCAGGACGAGGAGGAGGAGGAGGAGGAGGAGGAGGAGGAGGAGGAGGAGGAGGAGGAGGAGGAGGGAGGAGGGGCAGGAGGAGGAGGAAAGGGAGGAGGAGGAGGAGGAGGAGGAGGAGGAAGAGGAGGAGGAGGAGGTTCGTGCAAGCCTCCCACCCCCTGGCCGCGCTCCCCGAGGGCCTCACTCCTGTTCGAACCACCTCGGCCCCGTGGGGGTGTATTCAGACCAGTGATTGCGTGCGGGGGTGGATGGCGCGTGAGAACGTTTGGCTGCGATCATGCACCGAACTCTGGGTGCGATGCGTGGCCCAGGCCGTTCCAGCCGGCTGGATCCTCCCTGTGTCCCCGTCTGTCGACCCTGCTGCCCCTGTCGCGGGAATGCCCCCCGAAGTGGCGGCCCTCCCAAGGCTTCCTGGATGTCGAGGGACCCTGCTGGACACGGGCCCGCCTGTCGATCCTGGCGTCGCCCCCTCTGTGGCCATCTGGGGGGGGCTTGGCCTGATGGCGTGCCCACTCCCCCCCCCCCTCGAGTCCTGGGCGGTTCTCTCATGCTGATCCGCTGCGATGCCTCAACCATCGACTCCGCCTCTCTTGCTTTCGCGAACGGGCGGGCGGGGATACGGCGCCATCGGCAAGTTCAAGACCGCTCGGGGACACTGTGGGAATTGTTGCCAGCTTGTGCATTGCCGCCAGCATGCGAGTGCGCGACGCCTCGATTGTGCCTACCATGCGGGGGTGCGAGGGAGGGGCAGTGCGCAGTGAAGATGGGGAGGGGGCCGCCCCTGACTGGGTTTCCGACCGCACTGCGGCGGGAGCTTGCACGATACGGGTTCGAAGTGCCCCCGATGTTCAGCAGAGCGCCTGCCCCTCAGTTGCACAGCCACTGCATGAGGCCCCGCATCTGGTGACTGGAGGTGTTCGATGGGGGAACGGAGTCGTGTTCACCCACGACCCAGCTGTCCAGGGGGCGCGTCTGGACGCTTGCTGGGGAGGGGAGGCCGCCTGGGGTATGGTGTCGGGTATGACCCCTGGCCCGACCCCCTCGCCGACAGGACCGCCTTTACCTGGCGTGGCAGTCGGGCACTCTGAAGGGGACTCGCTGGCTGCTCCCACGTTTAGGTCGCCCTGACCCCCCCCCTCTTGCATGAATTCGGAATTCTATGCATGACTTTCACCTTTTCATCTTCTGGCACGGGCTCAAACTTTTAAGCCCCAAGGAGCGAGCGACCGAGCGAGGAGGACGAGGAGGAGGAGGAGGAGGAGGAGAACGAGGAGGAGGAGAACGAGGAGGATACGAGGAGGAGGAGGAGGAGGAGGAGGAGGAGGAGGAGTGAGGGGGATGGAGGAGGTGGAGGAGGAGGAGGAGCAGGAGGAGGAGGAGGAGGAGGGAGGAGGAGGAGGGAGGAGGAGGAGGGTTCGCAGGATTCGCCTGCGCGGCGCAGTCGCAGCCCGCACAACGCGGAGAGGCCGCCCCGCTAAGCAGCGGAGGCAGCGCGTCAGACGACGCGGTCGACGTGGAAGTCAAGGAAGGCGCCCCGACTCACGACGAAGGGGGAATTGCCGAAGACGTACTCCACGGTCTGATGGGGCCGCGGCTGCGTGCCCCTTTAGGCGCTGAGCAACTGGTGCTCAGTCGCCTGGGGCGTCAGCGCGCCCCGCTGGCGGTTCCGTTGCCATGTCCGCGTTGTCGAGGTGGAAACCCCGTCGTACGCGGTCAGTGGAGGTTAGCTGTGCCCTCCTTGTGGTCGGGTTGGTGGCGAAGCCGTCGCAATTCTTGCGAAGCTTCCGTGCTGCCGATGGCCGCTGAACCTCGCGTGTTCCTGCGCAACGCTCGCAGCATAAGACCCCGTGTGGCTCGAACATGGAGTGGCCCAGCTCCTCGAAAGCGATCTTTAGCCTGTCAATGGCGAGGCCGTCGTCGCTCCGTGTGTCGCCTTCGGTGCGGTGGGACTGGCTCGCCGTCACCGCGGGTGTACCGCCGGAAGGAGGAGGAGGAGGAGGAGGAGGAGGAGGCGGAGGAGGAGGAGGAGGAGGAGGAAGAGGAAAGGGGGGGGGGTGCTCCTCGGGACGGGTGGCGCCTGGCCGCCGTCGACAGGTCGGGAGGGGGGGGTGGAGGGCGTTTCTCTCCGAGGACCCTCAGCGCAGGCGTGTGAGAGGGGGTGCGGGAGGCTGGTCGGAAGGGTTCCGTAAGCTGGGCACTCTGTCAGGGAGTGTAGCAGGGAGCCGACTGGGTTACTCCCGCCCCTGCGGGCCACTAGTCTTTGCGAGGCCTCGTAGTACTGCTGCCTCTGCCCCCGTCCGCTGCCTAAGTTGCTTGCTGCTTCGCCCGGGTCGGCGCGATTCGATTATTTGTTCCACCTCCCCTAACGCTTCAGGCATCGGCCCTGAGCCCGCGCAGCGTCAAACAGTAGGGAGCCAGACCATCAACAGTGCTGAATCCAACGGGGCCATAGAGCTCCTTAGGCACACAAGCGGCGACATCAGAGTGGTCACCGACATTTCTACCTCATCGAAGGACACCACAAAGTGCCACGTAGGCGGCAGAATTCCTACAGTAGGCTCTGACAAGACCTCTGGTCAGTAGTCCAGGCATGCTCTCACCAGGTATTTCATTCCAGAGTGAAGACCTATCTCTCAGAAGAGGATCGTGACAAGTATCCAGTCTGGGCCAGAAAGGCCATCGAATTGACAGATCGTTTATCTGATGATGCCACCGCTCGGTTTCTGGTGTCCGAAGGGCTTCATTTCCCAGCCAGTGTTTGCAGTGGATGTGTTGGGTGAGCAAACTCGAGGGCGGCTCGCGCAGCATTCCCGATGTTGTGACGGGCTCACTGCCCAGTCCAAGAGCTCCCCGCAGAGGCCAGGAGGGCCGCGCGTATGGGACAGAGCGGAGCAAGCGCTCACGCACCCCTTGAGCACGACCACGCACTGGCCAGTGCTGGAAAGAGATCCGGTTTTTGCAGCAGGTGCCCGTGCAGGACACGGAATTGGAGATGCGGCAGGTGACTCCGGGAGCTGCGTGCGCCGCCGCCGCCGCCGCCACCCACGTCGCGGCCCCGAGGACAGGCGGCGCCACATGCGGAACATGCGCAGGCCAACACCGCGGCACGCCACACCGGAAACGAGGGCGCTTCCGCGCGACCTTGCGCGGGCAGCTTACGCGCCAATGTAGGTGAAGACGACTCGTTCTTCTGCATCGCTCAGATGGAAGCCAGCACGTCCACCCCGCGCACCACCAACATCTGCCTGTGCGCCGCGGTGTTCCGTGGTGACGGCGGCGTGGGTTCTGACGCGTTCGGGCCCCAAAAGGATTCGGGGAAGCTTGCCTGCCCCCACCCGCCCACCAGAGCGGGGGGCATGAAGCCATCAACGAGCTCGCCAAAGGGCAGCTCCCCCCAGGCCTCAAACAGTGGCCCCCAGGGAGCTCATGAGCTCATGCAAGACTCCTGAGCGCGAAACGGTTAGGACCGCAGGTTCACAGTCGCTCGTGGAGGAGGGAGAACGAGAGAAGGAGGAGGAGGAGGAGGAGGAGGAGGAGGAGGAGGAGGAGGAGGAGGGGGAGGAGGAGGAGGAGGAGGAGGAGGAGGAGGAGGAGCAGCCCACGCCCCGCAGCTTTCCGAGAAGGCCTCCCCCCTCTCCCTTCCCTCTGTGCGCGCCGCCCCAGCAGGAGAAAGCAGAGCGGGGGCGGCCTGCTCGTTGTCGCAGGCGGCCCAGTCTATGCTGCGGGGAGTGCTGACTATCGGCCGGAACACGGACATGAGCCTGCCCTTGGCTCTGCCGGCGAAGCCGGAGAGGCAGAAAGGGGGGGGAGGAAGGACCGAATATGGGGCGAAGGTTGCGAAAGGGGCTGAGGAGGAGTCTGTGTGGAAGGGACTGGAGTGGGGAATGACCGAGGAGCACGGAGCAGGGAGGATGAGGAGGGGGAATGGCGAGACAGAGAGAGGGGAGAGGGGAGGAGGAAGAGGAGGAGGAATAGGAGGAGGAGGCGGCGGCGGCGGATCGATATCGGGTCGAAGGTTGAAGCTACGCCACAACTAACACATCGCGAGGTGAAAACCCGGCGACGAGCGACCTCCCGTGCGCTGCACCCAGCGATTTATGAGTGCCCACTCCCCTGATGGGAGCCCCGAGTTGTCTTCGCTCGAAAACGTGCCGAAACACAAACCAGGACAAAACCTCGAAGGCTCAAATCAGAAGCGTGAAACATGATCGACCCACGAACCCGGAAAGGAATATAGAAATGTAAGGCATTGCAACATTCCAAAGACACCTGATTGGGCGACGGGCACATGCAATGCTGAATGTATCGATGATGATGTACTGTGCCGAGGGCTGTGCTGTGCTACGCCGTGCTGAACTGCGATGTGCCATGCCGCGATTGTGCTCTATATAGCGTTGTGGATCGAGTCCTCCCTGGCATCCGAGTCCTCACCGAACTGATCTGGAGCGTAAGCTCGAGCTGCCTGAGCAGATGGTAGCTGCCCCAGAACTAATCGACAGAGGGAACATGCCAGGAGGACGCGCCGCGGAACGTCCCAAGGGACGCGCCAGGCGACGTGCCAGGGGACGTGCCATGGGCACGCACCGCGGGACGTGCCAAGGGGACGCGCTACGGAACGTTCCAATGGACGTGCAGAGGGACGTGCCAGGGGACGCGCCGCGCGACGTGCCAGGTGGACTCGCCACGGAACGCACGGCTGTGCTGTGCTGGGCCGTGCTGAACTGCGATGTGCCATGCCGCGATTGTGCTCTTGTGCTCTATATAGCGTTGTGGATCGAGTCCTCCCTGGCATCCGAGTCCTCACCGAACTGATCTGGATCGTAAGCTCGAGCTGCCTGAGCAGATGGTAGCTGCCCCAGAACTAATCGACAGAGGGAACATGCCAAGAGGACGCGCCGCGGAACGTCCCAAGGGACGCGCCAGGCGACGTGCCAGGGGACGTGCCATGGGCACGCACCGCGGGACGTGCCAAGGGGACGCGCTACGGAACGTGCCAACGGACGTGCACCGCGCGACGTGCCAGGGGGACTCGCCACGGGACGCTCCGCGGAACGTGCCAGGCAACATGCCATGCTGCAATGCTAAGGGTATCGATATTGATGTACCATGCCGAGGGCTGTGCTGTGCCTGGGCGACCTGGACACGTGAAACACGCGTTTCGCTCAAGACGTTGTCAGCACATCCTCATGCTAGAAATCCGCCTGGGCAACCTGGACACGTGCAAACAAGCGTCTCGCTCGAGACATCCTCAACAAATCCTCATGCTAGACATCCGCCTGGGCGACCTGGACACGTGAAAACAGGCCTCTGGTTCGAGACAGCCTCAACAAATCCTCATGCTAGACATCGGTCTGGGCCACCTGGAGGCGTGAAACCAAGCGTCTCGCTCGAGACATCCTCAAGACCTGGGCACGTGAAAACAAGCAATCCACTAGAGAGATCCTCAGAATTCAGGTCCCCACGAGAGGACAATCTATAACACAAAACAAGCGTCTCGCTCGAGACATCCTCAACACATTCTGAAAAACAAGCGTTTCGCTCGAGACATCCTCAACAATTAATTCGCTGGCCCTCTTCCCACTCGTCATTTATCGCAAAAGAAATCCGCCGGCCCTCTCCCCGTCAAAACCAGGGGTAAACCTACTAAAAGAGAACCATGGGCCTACGCCCTTTCCGGGAAAAACGTCCCGTGACCGCTTCAGGCCCCAGAACCTCGCACAGACTGGCTCAGAACCTTGTGGCGTAGGCTACCAGCAATTTGAAGGAGGGGGGCAGGCGAGCCGACGGGAGGTTCGAACGAGGGGGGATCGGAGGAAGGGGAGGAGGAGGAGAAGGAGGAGGAGGAGGAGGAGGGGGAGGAGGAGAAGGAGCGGGAGGAGTAGGAGGAGCAGGAGCAGGAGGAGGAGGAGGAGGAGGAGGAGGAGGGGGAGGAGGAGGGGGAGGGGGAGGCGGAGGAGGAGGAGGAGGAGGCGGAGGAGGAGGCGGAGGAGGAAGCGAAGGAGGAGGAGAAGAAAGAGGAGGAAAGGGGAGTCCGGAGGAGGGAGAAGGGAGGGGAAGTGAGGGGGAGCATCTGGACGACAAGGGCACCTCGGCGCAGGAGGCGGGGGGAACGACGAGCAAGCGCGGGCAGCGTCGGCGCAGGCCCACGAGGGCCACGTTTCACGGCCTGCCTGGCCTGCCTGGCAGCGGCAGCACGCATCCCGAGGGCCTCCTGGAGTTTTGCGGAACAGCAGCCCGAAGGGCTCCTCGTGTCTCCCGAGACTATCTCGCAGGCTTCCAAGAAGGTTCCTGGATCTACTATCTACTCGCAACCCTCTGGTCTGTGCTCATTTTGCGACGGGCGCCCCAGGCACTCGCCACAGACTCAGAGGTCTGCCACCGACACGCCTGAGAGCGGGATCGTCCGCAAGACTGGCAGGGCAGTTCCAACCTCACTCAAGTCAGTGCAGAATGGCTGCGGCCTTGCTCCCCAGACAAATGTTTGCACTAAGGGGCTCTTCACTTGCTTTGGTAATATGCGATGGCCCTGGCTGGCGGGAGCCTCTGCCATTGTCAGCCTCTAGCCAGCCGGAGGGTCCCAAAGCATTCGAACTTGCCATCAGATGAGGAGGCCGCTCGAGTGCTCGCATTTTCGAACAAATTGCATGGGGCCCTTATGAACTCAAATGTGAGGATGACTTCGCAACATTTCCTCATCTGCGACTGGATGATCGGATCCCCGTAACAGGCTTCTGTTCGCGATCATTCGATCGGGCCCCAAGCATTCCCCGTTAGCGGCAAGATAAAAAGAGCCCCCTGAGCACTCACATACATGAGATCTTACGGTAGGATCTCCTAAATAGCTTCCTGCTCTGCCCGATCAGAAGATCCCCAAAGCAACCACCAATCTGCGATCAGGCCACGGAATGTGATCAACATCTCCCAATGGGCGATCAGATGCTGGGGCCTCTCAGGGACTTCTGGCCTGTGGCCGGGCGATGGGTCCCCCCCCCTCAGAGAAGCCGCCCACATGCGTAGTGACGAAAGCAATGCTTACATGGACCATGAAGCTGGACACACACACACATGGCTGGATTTACATGTGGACGCTGCGAAGGCCGCTGGCCACATTCGAGCGCTGCGAGGGCATGTGGCCGAGCTTGTATCCAGCTCTCGCCCAGGCCAGCCGCGCCACGTGCATTCAGCTTCCTGACCTTGGCTGCTGAGGAATTAAACCGCGGCTCCGTTTCCGTCCTTTCCTGGTCTGCCCCTGGCTGGTGCCCTGTGCGTTGGTGACTACGCTCAAGCCGTCTGTGTCGCAGACGGCCTTTCCAGTCGGAGCCATGCAACTGGTGGCATAATTACGGCCGGACCTAGGACAGAAAACCATCCTGCAAGAACATACGAGCCCCTCCGCCGGCCAGAACACCCCAGGCCGGGAGATCACTCGAGAGCACCCTCCCCCAGGATGCCCAAGAGGTCCAACAAGCACGAAGACCATGAGGGATAGCCTCCCCGACCTGGCCTCGACCGCATGCCTCGGTCCAACCCTACTCTTGGGTCGGGCATGATCTCCTACAGGGGGATTTGGGACGAGAACAAAAAAAATACCCCCAACAAAACACAAAAAGAGTCAAGACATGCTCCACAAATCGTCCCCAGACTATTTTTTGACTATTTCTGAACATGCCCCCTGTAGAGGCACAGGCCCAACTTTTGAGCAGGGACCGACCGTCCCGGCATTCCTATAGTCCTACCACGAAATGTTCTTAGAACCCAAACATGTTCTAAGTGCAAGAACCATGTTCTTCGAACACAAGCCCGATGTGCTAACACAAGACAACCTCAACCAGAACTGTTCTGAGAACATGTCGTGGAAACCACAAAAGGTCCTTAGAACATTGTCTGGTAGGGCTAATAGGCGAGCCAGGACACCTCGCCACTGCTTGAAACCTAACCCTGCTCCATGTTTGGGCGCCCGAGTTATCCGGGGTAGCTCGGGTCCGGGGTAACTCGGGTTTGGATTCCCGGACAAGGAACCCGAGGTAGCCCTGACCCGAGTTATCCCTGATGATTCGGGGCTCTGGACGCCCGAGTTATCCGGGGTAACTCGGGTCCGGGGTAACTCGGGTTTGGATTCCCGAGAAACGAACCCGAGTTATCCCTGACCCGAGTTACCCCTGATGATTCGGGGCTCTGACCATGTGTGGCTGGGCCACCGGGGCGACGTCGGCCTCTCCGGGCCCGTGCCCCGTGGCCGGTGCCCTGCGAGCCGGTGCCCCGCGGCTGGCCCTCGCTGAGTCGCGGCCGGGGGTCCTCTGGCCGGTGCCCTGCACTCGGCTGGCGCCCTGCTTCGGCGGCGAGGGCGGGGGGGGGGAGGGGAACAGGGGGCCACATGCGAACCCTACCCCTACCCCCCACGATTTCTGACGGGGGAGGGCGGGGTTCACTTCGCTCGAGAGCTCCCGAACGAAGTGAACCCCACCCTGCCCCTCAGAGATCGTGGGGGGTAGGGGCAGGGTTCGCATGTGGCCCCCTAGGGAAGGAGACGGCCTTCTCAGGAGGCGGCGGGACTGCTCAGAAGCCCCCGCGCCTTCTTGGTAGAGGTTTCCTGTGCCTTCGGGGAAGGCATTCGAGGACTGCTGAGAAGGCCGGGGGACTTCCGAGCCTTCTGATAAGGCCCGCACCTTCTCTCTCCGCCCCCTCGGGCTCGCCGCCGACTGCTTGTTGATGCTCTATGGTTGGCCCTCTGCGTCGCAGTCGGCAATTCAGGGTCGGTGCACGACAGCGGGTGCCTTGTGCGTCGGTGCCCGGTGATTGGGACCAACCTGAAGGGGACTAGCCATGTGGCACCGCATAGGTTGCACCACATCGGCTGGCTGGGCCGCATTTCCACATACAAACTTGGCACCACGTAGATATTGCATCACGCATGTTGCACCACCTAGATTGTTCTACCGAGAATGCACCGTGGACAGAATTCGCCACATGGATAACGCGTCGGCAGTGCTAGAACCTACTGTTTGGGATCAAAGCGCTGGCGAAACTTATTCGGATGCTGGTTTGCTCTCGGCAATTGCCGCAACTTATCGCTGAGGCCCTATCGATGGCGTTCGCCCCCTTCTCGCTGGGAGCATGTCGGTAAAATTCCCAAACGATGGGGTCCCACACGATCGGACCCCACACGGTAGGGTTCCACACGGTAGGGTCCCAAACAAGGTAATCCCAAGTGATTGGGTCCCACGGTCCCACACGATAGGGCCCCCTACATCTCACCCCGTAGATTGCACCTCTTACACAAAAAAGGAGTCGCTGTGTAAGGGTCCGCGACCTCTTCAATTTACCAGCTCTCGTTTTCTTCTTTTTCCCAACCATCCTGTGGTGTTGGGTCCTCTTTTTGAAAAGACAGCGCCCCACGTTCCTCGCCTCACCTCCCGCGCTCCTCCCCCTCCTCCCTCCTCCCATCCCTACCTCTGCCGTCCGCACCCAGTACACCGCTTCGTTGCCCCATAGGGAGCTCCACCGAAGGCCCCAGTGGCAGCGCCCGCATGCAGTTCCACCTCCTCGTCGGTGTGCCCCTCACACGCTTCGTAGCCCCATAGGGAGCTCCACCAAGCGCACCAGTGGCAGCGCCCGCGTGCGGTTCCACAGCCCAATTTCGGCACACCTCTCACACGCTTCGTGGCCCCATAGGGAGCTCAAACGAAGGCCCCAGTAGCAGCGCACGCGCGCAGATCCACCCCCATGTATGTGCACCCCTCTCACGTTTCGTGGCCCCATAGGGAGCTCCACCGAAGCCTCCGGTGGCAGCGCCTGCATGCGGTTCCACCCTGAATTCCGGTGTGCTCCTCACACGTTTCGTGGTCCCATAAAGAGCTCCACCTGAGGCCCCAGTGGCAGCGCCCGCATGCAGTTCCACCTCGGTCCATGTCTGTGCACCCCTCACACGTGTCGTGGCCCCACAGGGAGCTCAAACGAAGGCCCCAGTGGCAGCGACCGCATGCAATTCAACCCCCCATCTCGGCACACCCCTCACACGTGTCGTGGCCTCACAGGGAGCTCAAACGAAGGCCCCAGTGGCAGCGCACGCATGCATATCCACCCCCATGTCTGTGCACCCCTCACACGTTTCGTGGCACCATGGGGAGCTCCACCGACGGCCCCAGTGGCAGCGCCCGCATGCAGTTCCACCCACGATTTCGGCACAACCCTCACACGTTGCGTGGCCCCATAGGGAGCCCCACCGAAAGCCCAAGTGGCAGCGCCCGCATGCAGTTCCATCCCCATTTCTGTGCACCCCTCACACGTTTCGTGGCCACTTGTAAGGCGCTCCACGGAAGGTCTCAAAGGCAGCGCCCGCATGCGGTTCCACCCCGGTTTCGGTGCACTCCTCACACGTGTCGTGGCCCCGCAAGGAGCTCAAACGAAGGCCCTAGTGGCAGCGCCCGCATGCGGTTCCACCATATTTCCGCGAACCACTCACACGTGTCATGGCCCCATAGAAGGCCACAATGGCAACGCCCGCATGGCGGTCCCGCTATATTTTGGCACACCCTTCACGCGCTCCGTGGCCCTATCAGAGGATCCACCGACGGCAAGATTCACAACGACGGCACCCACAACTGCATATGGTTGGGCCCATCGCCAAGCTACATGTTTTTGTTGCTGCTTTCCTCTCTCTCTCTCCCAATCTATACACATGTATACATATGTATCGTTCTGGCGCGCTGGTCAGCTCAAGACAACCACACCCTCGCGCAGGGCCCGAAGTCCGAAGTAGAACAATGACAGACTGAATAATCTGTCTCGCGCAGAGTGCCCAGAAGAGCAGGCAGCGAACACATGCTGCAGCCAAGCCGTTCTCGCACGGCGCTCCAGGAGTAGGAAGACGGAGGGGGCAGCGACAAAAACCTCGCACGCTCACGAAGAGCAGTGCTAGGTGCGACAGTCGAGCAGTCGAACCGAAAAGGCAGCGGAAGCTGAAATCCATTAGGCCAGAGGCTACGGACAGACACACGCCCACGCTCGCATATAGACGCAAGCGCTGTCGTTGAGCAGCGAGCGTATCGAAACAAGCATGCACAGACGATAGAGTCCTTGAGAGGCGCAGGCCAAGCTACTACCATCCCCTGCCCCTCCCTTCTCCCAAATCGTCCTCCACCTCCTCCTCCTCCTTGTCGTTCTCCTCCTTCTCCCTCCTTCTCCTCCTTCTCGTCACCCTCCGCTGCATCCTCGTCGCTTTGTCTTCCTCGACGTCGTCGTCGTCGTCTTCCTCCTCCTCCTCCTCCTCCTCCTTCTCTTCCTCCTCCTCCTCCTCCTCATTGTTCTCCTCCTCGTCCTGCTCCCTCCTCCTCCTCCTCCTCCTCCTCCTCCTCCTCCTACCGCCCCTCCCCCTCCTCCTCCTCCTCCTCCTCCTCCTCCTCCTCCTCCTCCTCTCTCTCTCTCTCTGCTTCTCTCTCTATCTCCTGCTCGGACTCCTTCCTCCTCCTTCTCCTCCTCCTCCTCCTCCTCTTCATCGTCCTCCTCCTCCTCCTCCTCCTCCTCCTCCTCCTCCTCCTCCTCCCCCTCTCTCTCACTCTCCTCCTCGTCCTCTTTGTGTGATGCTGTTTTGTGTGTTTCTTTCCCTCTATACATATACATGTACATACATACATATATATACATATATATAAATATGTATGTCCACACATATGTTAACAGACACATCTATGCGAATAGACATACAGGATGGTACATACATAGTGTTCCCACTCTCTGCCTCCAACACCCTTCGCTCACATTCTTCTCTCTATCCCGTTATTTCCACTCTCTAGGTGTTACTCTCTGTCTCTCTTCCTCCTCCTCCTCCTCCGCCTCCTCCTCCTCCGCCTCCGCCTCCGCATCCTCCTCCTCCTCCTCCTCCTCCTCCTCCTCCTCCTACTCCTACTCCTCCTCCTCCTCCTCCTCCTCCATTCTCTCCCTCTCTCCCTGTGCCCTACTCATTATATACTCTCTACTCTGGGACCCCAACAACCCGGCCGCCCACCAGAACCAGTGGGTAACGCTCACCATTACACGGAGCCCGGCACCCTGGCACCCAGCCGCCTGCCGAAGTCTAGAGATACGGGATCCCCAGGACCCAGAACTCAGACTTCGGGAACCCAGCCGCCCACCAAAATCGGCCAAGGACTCGCACCAGAAGTCCTCACCACTTCCGCGAGGACCCCTTCGGCGCCAGCGCTCTCTCGCTATCTTCGGGCATCGCGAGACGACGCGCTGGAGAGCCTCGTCCCCCAGGAGGTCCCACGAAGCGCCCCCGCGAAGGCACGCAGAGGCGCGCGAGCCTTCGGGAGGCCTGGGGCGGCCCAACGAGGAGGAGAGCAGCGGAGAGCAGCGGCAGGACGTCGCGTCGGCCAGGCCAACTAGACGCAGCACAGGCGGCCAGGGGGCCGCAGCCTCAGGGGAGGCCAGTGATGCCGATCACGTCGACGGACGCGAAGGGCGGCGCGCTGGGGCCAGACCGCCGCGCAGCGCCTTGCGGCGAGCCGCTGGGGCCAGAACGCCACGCAGCGGCTGCCCGTGCCAGGAGAGGCCGACCCTCAACCACTTCTCCGTCGCCTCCTGCGTCCCGCATTCCACGGCACCGAAGGCGCTCTGAGCGGGCCAATGGGCGGTGGCTGCCCTTCCCGCCGCAGCTCGGCCAGCCACGTCCGCAGGCACACGTAGTCGTAGCGCCGCATGCAGTCCGACACGATCCTCTGCGACCGCGTCAGCGTGTGGCGCCACCTGTAGTAGGCCCGCCTCGCGGGCATGCCAGTCCCCCAGGCCCGCTCGCAGATCTCCTCGGCCATCTCCTCGGCCGTCCTCCCACGCGCCCGCAGCCTGGTGGCGAAGCGCGGCTGGGACAGGATCTGCGTGACGTAGCCGACGCAGTGGTCGAGCCACTCGCTGTGGCACTCCATCGTCTCGCCGACCTCGGGAGCCTGGGTCCAGTACCGCGCCCATCCAGCGACCTGCAGCTCAAGCCTGGGCGCGACGCTGCGCCTCGGCTGCGCTGGCTCAGGCCGAGCCACCGCAACTCTGCCAGCACTCAGGGCGGGGCCGCACACACGGTCGGCACTTGCAGGTCCCCTGCCACCCCTGGTGCTGGCCATGCACATGCCGTCGCGGTCCGCGTCGCTTCCTGGGCTCAGGGCGGGGCCGCACTCACGCACGCACATTGCAGGTCCCCTGCCACCCCTGGCCCAGGCCGTAATCCGTCGCCGCTCGGGGTGGGTGCTGGTGCTCAGGGCGGGGCCGCACTCAGGACCGCAAACTGCAGGTCCCCTGCCACCCCTGGCACCAGCCGTAGCTGCACGTGGACGCGCCTCCCCAGAAGCCAGCTGCGGCTGCCGCTGGTCCTCCTCAGGCGACGCCGCTGCCAGAGACCCGCTGCCAGTGCCCAGGGCGGGGCCGCACACAGGACTGCACTTTGCAGGTCCCCTGCCACCCCTGGCGCTGGCCATGCCCTTGCCGTCGCGGTCCTCGTCGCATCCTGGGCTCAGGGCGGGGCCGCACTCACGCACGCACATTGCAGGTCCCCTGCCACCCCTGGCCCAGGCCGTAAATCGTCGCCGCACGCGGTGGGCCTGGCTGCCGTCGCCGCCAGTGCCCAAGGTGGGGCCGCACTCAGGGTCGCGGCTTGCAGGCCTCCTGCCACCCTTGTCACTGGCCATGCCTGGCAGCGCCCGCTGCGAGTTGTCAGACCTGCCAGCACTCAGGGCGGGGCCGCATTCGCGACCGCACTTTGCAGGTCCCCTGCCACCCCTGGTGCTGGCCATATCGGTAGTCGAGAACGGCTGCGGCGGGCTGCTCATGTCCTGAGGGCTGGTCACGGCGCCCTCCTGGTGGTCCGTGGTCAGCGTCACCTCGTGTGCCAGGTCACACCTCAAGGGCGCAGGCAGCCGCGACGGCCCCGCCGCCAGACAGGCATCGACCACCCCCACGTCTGGGGCAGCTGGCGGCGGCTGGAGCGTCACCAGTCCAGTGGTGCCCCCGTCGGGGCATTGGTGCGCTCCATAGGCCGAGGGCAAGCTGCCGTCGGCCATGTCTCCCTCATCACGCTGCGCGCCGCTGGCGGCTGCTGGACCACGCTCGGCTAGCAGATGCTGCTGCCTTCGCTGCATCCGTTCCAGGAGCTCCTGCCGTCGCACCCGCCAAGCAGGCTTCTTGGTCTGGACTGCGTCGGAACCTCCAGCCCCTGCAGGCACCTCGCGCGTCTCGTGGTCCTGGCCAGGCCTGGTCGCCTCGCCCTGTTCCTTCTGCGCGTGCCTGCCGCTTGGCCGCTCTGCAGCGCCGTCGCCCCCAGAGGCCATGTCGCCCGCGGCCGCGCTGGCCGCCGCTGTGGCCCATGTTCTGGGGCCGTCTGGAGCCTCGCCTGCACCTCCCCAAGTGAGCACCTTTCCTGTCTTGGGGTGCAGCCCTTGGCTGAGCTTCTTGAGCCGCGCCCTGAGGTTGGACAGGTAGGTGCGCTGGTTCTTGCCCTCGGCGCTGGGCGGGCCAGCGCAGGGCGCAGCCAGGGCCAGTGAGGAGCCTGTCGCCGCCCACGCCACGCATACCTCGCAGTAGATGGTGGGCCCTGCGCGCCTCAGCCTGTGCCCCTGCATCTCGATGGTGCCGTCCCCTGAGCCCCAGGGGGCAGGCTCGGCTGGCCTGGGCCCCGCATCTTCGGGGCACGCCGCGCGCTCGATCGCCTGCATAGCGAACTCGCCCGCCTCCGAGACCACAATGGGCTGCGCGCCGACGTGCGCGATGATGGCCTCGGCCCGCAGCGCGGTGTACTGGCTGGCCTCGCAAGCTGAACGCGCGAACTGCGTCCATGTGGGCCCCGTCTGCCCGCTGGTCTGCCTGCAGCAAGCGCGGCACAGCACCACCGCCGTCCCGTTCAGGCGAACCAGGGAGTGGCTGATCACAGTCGCCGCCTGCACCTTGGGCACCTTTGGCGGGCGGGCTGTCTGCTCGGGCGCATCCCAGCGGCCTGCGTGCATCGTCCTCTGCATCGCCCAGCCGACGTACTTTGCCAGGCTCTTGTAGTGTTGCAGCTCGATGTTGTAGAACTCCTCGTACACCTTCGACACGGTGTGCTGCATGGCTCCTTGCCGAGCGAACCAGTCGGCCCACATGTTGCCAGAGTACAGCAGCGGGTGGAGGCCTCGGTCCAAGTACGCATCCATGTCCTGATGCGCGGGGATCCATCTCACTTCAGGCCGCGCTGGCTGGGCACGAATCCGTCTCCACACTGTGGCATGTGCCGCTCGCGCCTCCTCTAGCTCCTGCCCCCAGTGGCTGCATTCCTTCTCCATCGACAGAAGGTCGGTGAAGACGAACTCGAGCTGCGGCCCCGCGAGCCGCAATGCCTGCAGCAGCGCGTGCCTCTCCGCGCGCCCGACCGTCTGGAGCGGCCCTGGCAGCGCCCCGAACGCCGCCCGAACAGGCAGTCCCTGGAGGGAAAGCTGCACGAAGGCCCATCCGCAGCGCCTCAGCTCGGGCATGCTGGACGCGAAGCCTGAGCCATCGGTGAAGACGGCGTTGCTGCAGGAAGCCGTGTCCGCCCCTTGGCTAGGCCAGCAGCCCCAGAACTTCACCTCGGCCTGCTCCGCGGCGGGCGGCACGAATGGCGGCATGCAGGGCAAGCACATTTGGAAGTCGGCGCTCTCGAAGCTGCCGCCCTCCTGCAGGCCTTTGTCGCACATGAAGGTGCGGATGGCCTGCATCGGCTCGGGCGGCAGCTGCTCGTCCTGCTCCTCCTCTGTGAGCGGCTGCACGAGTACCTCGCAGCCGAAAAATCTGTGCCCAGGCGAGTCGGACGGATGTCCGCAGGCCCTGCAATTCGGCGCCGCCGCCAGCCCAAGGTCGTGCTGGGCCTGTTGCGTCCAGGCCACCGTCGCCCAGTGGTGACGCAGGCTGGTGGCCGACGGGCCCTCCGCCAACGCCGCGCGCCCGTCGCCCACGCAGAGCCGCATGGCCCGCACCCAAGGCTTGACCTCGCCGTGCTGGCGGTGGTGCGCCGCGATCTGCCTCGCCTGCCAGCGTTGCACGCCGCCGGTCAGATGCATCCTGACGTCCTTCGGGCACGTGGTGAGGAGGTTGATCGCCGTATCCTGGTCGGTGACCAGGGTCGTGCTGGAGTACATGTGCCATCCGATGCGCCAGAGCGTCAGCGTGACGGAGGCGATGGGACCGCGAGCCCCTGCCAAGGACGGGCGCCCCACGAGCCGCTCCGTGACCTTGGCCCAGGCCCTGTGGAGCCTAGCCAGGGAGGTGCGTTGTTCCCAGATCCAGCTGGCGTATCGGCAAACGATGTCGCAGGTGGCGCCGTAGATGGGGTCGTACTCGCGCGCCTTCTGCGTGGCTAAATACACCGTGACGCTCGATGCACCTGGCCGAGCCCCTGCAAGCCTGCCAGCCTCGGCCCTCAGCACCTGCAGCGTATCGTCGGTGAGCCCTGACACCCCAGCACCGTGCGCCGCACTCGGCATGAGGCCCGTCTTCCACAGGCAGGTAGCGCGCCTGCCCACTGCCCCTTTGAAAGCTGCCAACTTGCCGCGCCGCTCCTTGAGCTGCCGCACCCGCTTTGCCGTCTGGAGCCTAGCGATTCTGCGCCCGCCCAGATCGTGCCCCAGGTTGCGGGCCCAGCGCATCTTGGTCAGCTTGCGGGCCGCCGCGTGTCGGGCACACTCGCGAGCAGCCGCGTCCGATGAGACCAAGTAGCCCGACTTGGTGGGCTGCACGACAATGCCTCGCTCCTGGGCGCCCTCGCGGAACCTGGTGGTGGCCGCCCAAAGCACGCCCAGTTATGAGAGCCACCTCCCGCGCCACTGCAAGGTGACGTCGTCGATGAGGGCCCTCGGGGTGACGCCTGCATCTCGCACCTGCTCGAGCAGCCTGAACATGAGCAAGGTGACCATGGCACAGGCGTGAGTGCATCCTGCGAGCACGCCCTGATGTGACACGACCGCGTAGGACACCGAGCCGAAAGCTTGCAGCCGCCTCGGCTGCCTGTATAGCTCAATCAACATCCAGACCAACCGCAGCGGCATGCCCAGCAGCCGCGCCTCGATGAGTAGCCACTCGGGCTTAATCGTCTCAAAGAACTTCCAGGCGTCCAGCATGACGATTACGACGTGCTCGTCCAGGCAGTCCGATACCTCCGTCTCAAGGTTGAGGTCGAAGGCGGAGTCGGAGGAAGATCTGCCGCCGCCCATGCCCCAAATGCTGGCATTGGGGTGCGCCGTCAGCCACGCCTTGGACGTCGAGGCACGAGCCCTCGACCACCATCGGATTAGCGAGTGCATCAGCGTGATCAGCCTGCAGCCGCCAGAGGCCTTGGGGATGCGGCACATAGCGTGCCACAGCCTTTCGCTGGGCCAAGCCCCCAGCGCCTCGCACTTCATGAAGAGCTGGCCGCAGGTGTAAACGCCGTCGTCCGTGAGAAAGGTGAGCGCGCGCATGCCGATCTGCGCTGGGCCGAGCGCCGTGGTGGTGGGGAAGCTGCAGGCGGCCCGCTGCAGCGCCTCCACGGTGAGGTCTTCGAGGTCGTCCCATTCGTCGAAGTCAGCTGGCCTTTCCAGCGCCTCGAGCTTGTGGCACGACCAGACGTCCTCCCAGGCCTTCATCTCCCGGTCGCAGATCAGGTGCTGGCTGGCGACCTGCTGCTGCGGGACGAAGGTCTGGGCGAGCCGTCCAGTGGTGAGCTCGGTGCGGGTGCCCTGCCATTGCGCCAGCACCTCCTGCATCGCCCGCAGCTTGGTGAAGCGGTGCGCCTTGCCAGCGCCGTTCCGCAGGCTGTCGTTGGCCCACTGGATCCAGCTCTGCTGCCTGACCTTGAGCGCGTCCGCGTGGGCGTCCTTGGCGAACTGGACGATGCGGCCCGCCTGCTCCAGGAAGTCGGTGTTGCCGATCACGCGAAAGCCCTGCTCGAAGAAGGACCTCACCCAATGCGGGAGCAGTGCCAGCGTCTTCTTGCTGTCCATAACCACGCGCCCATACTCCAAAGCCCTCGCGACGAAGTCCGCCAGCTCGTGGTACTGCTCAGGGACAAGGGAGCACTGCAGGCTGGCGGTTTGCAGCCTCCTGCTGGCCTTCGCGAGGAACGCGCTGACCCCCATGAAGTGACGCGCCCATCGGCCCGCGACCTTGGCCGCGATGACATCAGGCCCCAATCGGACACGCTGCCCTTGCGGCTTCCACTTGACTGGCGCCAGCTTGGTCGCAATGGGCCCCGCACGTCCTTCGAACCGCCTGCGCGCTTCGCCAACCTGGTCGTAGCGGTCCAACAGCTCCTGCTCCAAGGTGCTGACGACGGCGTCCCAGGCTGCTGGCAGCTCCTCGGCGCTGGCTGTGGCGCGCACCTGGGCCAAAGTGGGCGCCCAGTCCTCGACGCCGCGGCTGCAGCCGATGGGCGGCACCGCTGGAATCGCCCTGGGGGCGATCGGGATCCTCGCGCGCATGTCCAGGTCGGCGGCACGCAGCTCCATGTTGACAGGGAGGTGCGGGGAGGTGATGCCCAACTCATCCACTCTCGGAGCCGAGATGCGGCTGGCCAGGTTTGCACCGACCAGAAAGTAGTCCAGCACCGAGCCGCTGCCCGCCTGTGGGCGGCAGGTGTCGGCCGACGGCGCTAGCCAGAGGCCCCCCGCCTTTTCCAACTGCGCCAGGGGCAGGCAGCTGGGAGGCCCATTGAAGTCGCCGCCGACGATCCAATCGATGCCCGAGGCCGTGAGCTTCGTGAGGTAGCGAGTGAGCGCGCCGAAGATGCTTCGGTTCACGTCGTTCATGCCAACGCTGTCGACCAGGTAGGCCGACACGAAGACAATGCCGCCACGGACTCCCCAGTGCACGTGGGCGGCCACCAGTCGCCCTGGCCACAGTGTCGCCGAGGGCAGCAGCGGCGGGGCCGTGACGGGGATGTTCTTGCGGGCCAAGACCGCGACGCCGCCCGTAGTGCCCTCCGCGGAGGTGGGGCCTGCCACTGCTGGCGCCCAGATGCCCGCGAACCCGTGATCCAGCACCTCGTGCTGCAGGTCGGCGAGCTTCGCCTCGTCCCGTCGGTGATGCTCCTGGACGAGAACGACGTGCGACTCGAGGGTCTCTAGGCACGGCGCCAATGAACCCCAGGAAGTCACGTTGCTGGTAGTGATAGTGCCTTTCGCCATCGCAAGTGTGCAGGACATCGCGATGATGAGCTTAGTAAGGATTGAAGCCCCTGACGGCCAGCTCCGTGGCGCGCGCCAGCATGGCGTCGCTGGTCTCCTCTGCTGGCCCTGGCGAGAACTCCGCCATGGTCTGCCGCAGCTTCTCGGGCTCCATCGCGGCGGGATCCCAGCGCGGCGCTGCGGCTGCAGGGGCGGCGCCGCCTGCAGTGCCTGCGCCATGCGCGGCGGCGGCGGCGTCGTCTCCCTCGACGGACGCTGCAGGGGTGCGAGGGGCGCTCGCTGCCTCCGTGGCGGCGGCCCGCTCGCGCTGCCGCCGCAGCATGAGCTCCTGGAGGGGCCCGCCGAGCGCCGAGGCCAGCCGCTGCGGCAAATCGCCCGCGGTCTGCATGGTGTCGTCGGGGTGAGCGGCCAGCGCACCGCTGAGAGCCTGCGCCAGGTCGCCGAGGGTGAGGCCGCCCGTGTTCTTGATGACGTCGTGCTCCATGGACTGCCCAGGCGGACGATCCTCTGGCGCGACTGGGACCTGCTGCTGGAGTGCCGACTGCTCCGCCTGGAGGGCCACCTGCTGCGCCTTGAGCTCTCTGACACCATGCCGCTTGAGCTCCAGCTCGTCTTGCGCCTTCTTGACACGGTCCTCCGCCTCGCGCTCGGCCAGCTCCATCTTGCTGAGTTTGTCCGCCAGATTCTTCTGCCTGTGGGCCAGCGCCTGCACCCGCGCGTGGAGCGGCTTGGCGGCGAAGAGCCTGTCCTTGGCGGCGGCGAGCCTGCGCTTGAGATCCTCCCGCGGGCCCGTGGCCCAGTCGTGCTGCACGTCCTTGAGCGTGGCCAGGCCTGCCTCGCACACCTTGATCTCGCTCGCAGCCGAGGCGTCCTCGCCTGACTTGCCGTCGTCCACGTGCATGGCCGCGGCCCCGCCCTGGTCGGACTCCTGCGTACGAAGCTTCTTCCTGGCAGCGTCGAGCTCCGCCCGCATGGCCGCGAGCTCGCCCTCGAGCTTGCCCTCGGCCGTCCACGGGGCCCGCTTCTTGCCCTTGGCTGGGGCCCGCATCGAGGGCTCCTTCGGCGGCACAGGCCCGCCGTACACGTCCTTCTTGTGGAGCCTGCACCCTTGGCACTTGAGCGAGGTCCCGAAGTTGATGAGCGGCTTGCCGCGCTTCGTCGTACAGCTCCTGCAAGCCCAGTCCTGGCGTTCCTTTCGGCCGGCGCCAGCCATGGTGCTGCAGTCTGCACTTGGGATCGAGAAGGGGCTGTCGGGCTCAAGAGCCCTGGCACTGGCCGCGGACTAGCGGTATCCACTTGTTCCACTGTGGAACTAGGCATCTTGAGCCAAAATGGCTACGGAGCCCAACGAGGAGGAGGAGGAGGAGGAGGAGGAGGAGGAGGAGAAGGAGGAGGAGGGGGCGAAGGAGGAAAAGGAGGAGGAGGAGGAGGAGGAGGAGGAGGAGGAGGAGGAGGAGGAGGAGGATGGAGGAGGGAGGAGGACGAGGAGGAGGAGGAGGAGAAGGAGGAGGGAGGAGGATGAGGAGGAGGATGGAGGAGGAGGGGGTGGAGGAGGAGGAGGAGGAGCAGGAGGGGGTGGAGGAGGAGGAGGATTAGGAGGAGGAGAAGGGCCACAGCGTCCGCCAGTCTCGATCCTCGATCCTCGAATGGGATGGGGACCCGGGGCGGCCCCGCCCCGCCCCGCGCTCAGGCTCTCGAGGGGCGAGGCGGCCACCTCCCCGAAGAGCAGCTCGCCTGGCGCCGCCCTCGCGGCCGGGGGGGGGTGCTCGGGGTGCCCCCTGGCCCAAGGTGCCCCCAGGACTTCCCAGCAGGCACCCCACGGCCTCCAGAGCACCCCTCACGAGCCCCAGGGGCTCCGACACGGAGCGGAAGGCCGGGGGCAGCTTGGGCCAGGGGCACCTCCGGCAACCGACGATTCACAGGGGCGCGAGCGCGCCCCACCACGAGCCGGGCGGCCGAAGCCCTGGGGGCTTGACGACGTTTCGCCATTCGACTTGTGGGGATCGAGCCAAGTAAGTCCAAGCAACTGCAGATATCGATCGAGGTATATCCCAGTGTGAATCTTAGCAAATCCAGGTAGATCCAGGGATATCCAGGGACATGTGAGGCAAATCGCGGCCGCTCCATCCAGCGCGAGTCGACGGACAACAGAAGTCGTTCAGAAGTCCCCGAAAGGCCCTCGTCCTCCTACGCAAGGTGGAGGGAGGGCCTTTCAGCCGCACCGCAGGGAACAAACAGGAGGAGAGGGCGGCTGGAAGGCCCTCTGCGGAAGCCTCCTCCTAAGAAGAAGGCTTTCGCGGACCCGACTTCCTCGGGGCAAATGCTGCCTTGGTTTGTGCCTAACCCCAGAGGCCATCAGAACGCGACCCGGGACAAAAAAACTGGCCCCCCAAGAACCGTCGAGAGGCCCGTGGGCCCCCGTCACACAATTGCAACGTCGGGGTAATTATGGATTCTTCCTCCTTCTCCTCCTCCTCCTCCTCCTCGTCCTCCACCTCGTCGGGGTCTGCGAACGCGGGTCAACCAAATCCAGGTCAGCAGGAAACCAAAAAACTGCAATGCAAGAAAACAAAAACTGCAACGCAGGGCTTCGCGAACCCGGGTCAGCCAATATGCGCGGCCGCCTCGTGGCCACGAGCGGCTCGCTGACCCGGGTCAGCCAGAGGGGGTCTTCGCAGGATCCTGCAGGACCCGGTGCCCTGGCTGACCCCAGTTTGCATGGACCCCCGTCTCCTGAGCCCCGACCTCGTGCCCCTCCGCCTCCTCCGGCTTCTCACACACATTACGTCCCTAATACACCTGATCGTCACCATCCTCCCATCCCTGCCTCCCTACCTCCCTCCTCCCGATTCGCCTGGACACTCACCCCAAAACCTGTCCACCCCGATCATCATCATCATCATCATCATCATCATCATCATCATCATCATCATC